AATCATACAAAAATATACATGTATTTATTACACACAAATTAAAATTGCAAAGAAGGGCCCATTCATACCTCATAAACAAACATATATATAAACACATACAAGGGCTAATGAAGTAGACCTAACGCGTTTTGGCCTAGGCAGGCCTTCCTCAGAGGTCTAATACATATAGGACATATAGGCTGATATATACAAATATAGGCAATCATACATATCCACAATATGCAATAAAGACCAGAGATCAATTGCTGTGAAAATAAAGAAAATAGAAAATTAGACACATATGCTACTAACAAATACACTGCAGATATATTACCAAACAAAGTCCATTAACTTACTTACAAAGTATAGCCACTGGGCAAGGAAAAGAAATACAAAAATACAAATGAAGCCTCCAGTACAATCACATGTCCAGTAGCACTTCTCTAAAAACAATAAGAGGGTATGAGTTAGTGCATTAAACAAATAATAACTAGAAGTAAACCAAGGAAGATGAAAATGGTCACCTCTGGTCTACTATATATTCTTCTAAAATTGTGCAGCCAAATGTTCCCAGTGAAGGTTCCTTAAGTTAAAAGCAGTGTTGATCCAAAAAAAAAGGTTGAGCCTATATAGTAGATTCAGGGTTAAACAATCCTTAAAGGGTGATGTAATCCTTCCAGGTGCCTGAAACTAGTCATGTGATTACACATTCACATACAGCATGACACAGTAAAAACCATTTAAAGAAACATTACAGATACCTAACTAGGTGTTCACTCATACAAATTATACTACACACCAATCTACTTGTTCGTTCAAACCATATGGGCTAACAGTATTGAGGGCATAAATCCAAAACAATTCTCTTGCTTTCAAATGCTGCAGATGGTTACAAGGTCGAGCATATTCCAGGGCGAAGAACGAAAAGTCCTTATCAGAGTGTCCTGTTAAAGCAAAATGCTCAGTCAGGTGTGCACCTTTCCTCTTACGTCGAATACAACTCCGATGTTCTGTGATCCTAGTTTTCAATGGTCTTGACGTACAACCGATGTATCTCTTTTGATAACTACAGATGATACAGTAAATAAGGCCCTTTGAATTGCAATTAAAGAATGATCTAATAGAATACCTTTTATTTTTTACTGGTCCACTGGCGGTTTCAGGTCCTCACGCTGAAACCGCCAGTGGATGCCAGCACATGTAAGTAGGTAGCATTTGTACACGTAGCTGTCAGAGCATTTGTACACCTAGCTCTCAGAGACATCCCTTTTACATTCAGACTCCAGCTGTTGTGTGTGTACGCCTTCCATCACACCCTGGTTTAGGCAAACAACTTATGTGCATGGTGGTGTTCCTATGAAAAAGACAGAAGGGGGGGGATCCCATCTATTTATACCAGTGTAGTCGTCTGCAAATGAAGCATTTAGAATAATAGCTGAATTCCTGTTTCAGCCTGCTTTCAGTTACACTGAGTCTCAGTTCAACTGTATTGGACTTACAGATGGTGATTCTGGTGGGTAGCCATGTTGGTCTGAAGTAATAGAACAAAGTTTGAGTCCAGTGGCACCTTTAAGACCAACAAAGTTTAATTCTGGGTAGAAGCTTTCGTATGCACACCGTGCATACGAAAGCTTATACCCAGAATTAAACTTTGTTGGTCTTAAAGGTGCCACTGGACTCAAAAGATGGCAATTCTTGTATTGCAGAAGGTGGTGTCTACTAAGCTTGTCTCATACAGGGTGTTAGTAACCACCATTCAGTTATTACCTGACTAGCAAGCAGTTCTTCTTGAAGATTACATAAATAAAAACCTGGCATCAGGGAAGTGGAGGGCTGATTTGACCAATTCCATCTACCATCAAAATCAGTTTTGTACATTGAAATATTATCGATAGGAAGCTTACGCAATATGGCTCTTCTGTTGCATCAAGCCATAAGTGCAGTGATTTTATCTATTCGGGGGTGGCCATGTTGGTCTGAAGTAATAGAAACAAGTTTGAGTCCAGTGGCACCTTTAAGACCAACAAAGGTTAATTCTGGGTATAAGCTTTCATGTGCACGCACACTGCTTGATTTGATTATGGAACGTTTTATTTTAACATGATGAATAAAATATTTTAAGACAAGGTGTTCAAATGTTTTCCAAATCATTTCTAAAAAATATGTATGGTGTCAGATTGATCTAATTTCTGTGCACTGGGGACAAGCAAGTCCTAGGTTACAAACTGAACTCTCCAATGCAAGAACAAGATGTATTTCTTCCTTGTCGCAAGAAAAGAAAAAAGGTTTCAGTTGGGGTTTTTTTGCATGTGGGTGGGTACTCTGTTTGTAATAATTGTTTGGATACACTATATTTTTAATATGCTAGTTGTGATAATTTCATGCCAAGTAAAAATGTCCATAGTCATATTTTATGTTCCTAAAGTAACAGAATGACTTTCAATCTGGAAAAGAAAAAAGAAGTGCTAATGTAGCATTTTTTTCAATTTTTCTGAAAATTTCCATTTCCCCCCGAAAAATCGGGGGAAAAACTGGGTTTTTTCCTGAGCTTCAAAATTTCTGGAAATGTTACATCTCTACACTGGACTCAAACTTTGTTCTGATTTTATTTATGTAATGGGTGAATCTTTAAAAAATATACTGGAAAGTGGAAGGTAAGTAGCACTAAGTAGGTTTTAAGTGTGGAGCCCAGTCCTTGTAATAGATTGCACGTCTCTGTGTGAGAGAGAATCGGAGAGCTACACCTCTCTGACTGAAGTCTAGACCTCAGATTACCACTCTGTTGATAGCAATACCAGCAAATGTTTCTGGTGTGTGTGGCATCTGATG